AGTATTTTTCTTCGTTATAGCACACATCAAGGTGGGCGCGTTAGCCCCGTTTGATTCGCTCTTGTGTGGTCATGGGGGTAGCTTCCTCCCGGCTCCCTTGCCTTGCAGCTGGACCGCTGCCTCGGAGGGGAGCCTGACAGGCAGGCAAAGAGCCCGCCGGTCTCCCCATCCCCCCTCCAGGCAGCGCTGACTAGCCTGAAGAGTCCCAGCACCAGACCCCCTTTCATAGCCCTGAATGGACTTGCCTTATTTATATTCACACTCTGTCACACAGGGGGACCCCAATCTCACAATGCCACTGTGGCTTTGTCCAGCAACTCTGTATTTATGTGTGTGTGTGTGTGTGTGTGAGAGAGAGAGAGTGTTTGTGTGTGGTATATAAAGTGAGGGGGGGTGTGGGGGGGGGGGGGGGTTGTGTTGTTTAATCGCAGGGCATGTTGCTGCCGTGTAATCTGTGCATGAGAATTCACCGCGGTGTGTATTTCTGAAGTGTGTGTGTTTGGAGCCCTAATGCCTCCCTCTTTTACTCGCCAACCCAACATCACAGGCCAGCAACTGGGCAATAAATGTAGATAGTTGCTTCTCTGGCTATGTATCTATCTAACTAACTAACTATATATATATATACATAGTTAGTATATGTATATAAAATGTACACACACAATGGCTTCTGTCTATATTTCAAGTTTCCCACTGTTCACAGTTGTAACCCACAGCGGCGCTTTCATTTTCCTGCCATAACGTGTATTGATTTCCCTCAGCCTCGCAGCGACGACACACACGAGCATGCACCCGCTGATATCCAATGATCCTTAAAATCATACCCCTCAGACTCACACACATGCACACATTCATATGTTCCCGCGTACACACATTTCACAAACATAGTTTGTCTCTGCCAGATAGGGAATGTTGTGCTCAAAAAGCAGCTCTGTCGGAGCGAGATTAGTTCTCACATATGGTCCCCTACTTTTGCAATCACACGCTCACAGGTGTGCGTGCACGCGCACTCACACACACACACACAACACACACTGTCACATACTCTTTCTGACATAACAGTAAAGACGCCTGATTGCTAAATTAATCTTCCACGTCACTGCTGGCCCCCCATGCCCGCCTTTGCTTTGGAGAAAGTGATCACTCTCGCCTTTCTTAGTGTTTTCTCATTTTCCCCACCCTCTCGGCTCCTCTCGCACCTACCCCCCCCGCCCTCCTCCTCCCCCCCCTCCACCTAACCACCTCCAACTCTATTTGTATTGTAATTGCCTTGGTAAACAGCACCACTTTGGCACTGAAGCAGCTCTGATAGCTTGTATTTGGGATGCATTAAGAGTGGTGATGCAGACGCCGTGTGTGCAAGTGTGTGTTTATTTGTGTGTCTGCCCAGAGATTGAGTGGTGTGCGTCACATATCGCCTCTCCTTAGGCACAGATTTAGCTTTTTTTTCCCCCAACACGGTCGATTCCTCTCTTATCAGACATGATTAGTTCAGAAATATAACATAGATGCAACATTATTTAGAGCTTTTCTGGTAAGACACGGTTTTGTATGAATACCTAATACAGAAAGCACATTCTAACATTTTTACTTTCTCTTGCCTGATTTAAAATAAGCAGATTTCCATATAGTTTTTTTTTTGTTGCTCCAAACAATATCTATGTCTAAGACTAACTTTGGTGTTTTTTTCAAGTTAATAACAGAGAGATGACAGACTGAGGAGGGAAATATGGAACTTAGACTGGATAAGGCAAAGTTCATGTCAGCGATGGAAAAGGTGTTCAGATTTTTTACCTTAATAACAAACAAGCACTAAGAAGTAAAACCTATTAAAAAAACAGGTGAGAATTTCCAACTGAAGTCAATTGACTTCATACAGTAGTATTATTTGAACAATAGGTTTGGTTCCTCATACTGATAAATTAATATATTAATGCTGAAACATACAAGCTTTATTCTGCTGAAGCTGGAAAAAGATTAAGCTGATTTAAAAAATACATGCTACATGCACACACGCACACACACACACACACACTTATATAACAGAAGAAGAAAGAATAAACAGAAATAGTTCATTTTTGGGAGAATAGCTACAACTTTTGAAAAGTTATTGTAATAAAACCATGGGAGTAAGTTTAGAGGCTGAAAGTGTCCCCTAACATGTGGTGAAGTGTAAGTGTAAGATACTTGGCTTACACTTAAAATTTGTCAGTCTTGCGTAGATACACTTAGTAAGATTCCTCTCCTGGTCCATAGTAGAACTACTGAGTTAGCTTTTAACTTTATATTTCATACCTTTACAGCACAAAACGTGCTATTCGGACAAATATTTTATAAAATCTGTACATATAATAGTAAATCAAAGCAGACATCCAGATATTCCATCAAAACCATTTCCAGTCTTAAATGCACCCCTGATGTACTTGTATATTTTATGGAAAGTAGGCTCACCACGTCCTCTGATGCATGTTTACTTGTTATTTACAGAATAAAGGAATGTGAACACGGTCAAACAGCTTGTCCTTTTTGCATTAGAACTATCTCCCCAAGTATTCTGATTAATTTGGGCTTAATATATAACTTTTTATTGTTAGTTTTGCAGTAAGTTAAATCTATAAGAGACTGATTCCATACAAATGTTCAAGCACTGATGTATAATAATACATATTCAGATACGTTGCCTCTTTTAAATTAAAATGATGTTTTTAATTAAAAAAATGTCTTTCAAATATTTCTTTTTAGATTTTACTTTAAACTCCTTAGAGGAGTAAACTCACCTTACTTTTACAAAGTCAGAACCTAATTAATACTGCAAATAGTGATTATAGAAGTTTGTCTGAATTATTGAGATTTTCCTCGGCAGACACCTTGACATGCCACAGCAGGGAAAACAGGTGTGAATGATAAAATTGATAATGGATGAATTCCATTTAGCTGCTTCAGTGGCAGAATACTCTGTCTTGCTATCTCGCTGCCATGGCTCACTGGGACTCCATTGTCATTTGTTATCATTATTATTAAAACCTGTGCCTTTTCCGGCAATTGTAAGTCAAAATGTGTGCATAGAAGAATGAATACTGATGATAAGGCAAAAAAAAGGGACTGTTTTACTGTCAAAAATATCTAGCAGTAACATTAATTACAGCCAGTATTTGATGCATGTTTTGTCTTCTTTCTATCTGCAGTTAGACGATCATCTCATTCTCTGGCCACTGACATGTTTGAGCAGCACCTAGGGGCACACCTCCTTCAGGTAACGACCACAGCACCTTTGGAATGTATTTCATCTAACCATGTTGTACACTTTTATGAAGTTTATGGAAAATATTAAGGAAATAACGCTTGGTTCTTACGTGTGTTAGAGAAACTTTTACTTATATATGCTGTTTATTTAGACTGGGATGCTTGAGTATCAACCACCATCTCAGCCTTATATCTCCAAGAAAAACTCCTTAGAGCATGCACATACAAAGGTGCGCGCATCTGATAAACCTCAGATGTTTGGACATGGTTGTTGGCTGCCATAGAGAGCCTTCCTTTTGCGCTGACAACTGAACAGAGCCTGAGGGGTATTCTGGGGCAGGGAAGCTGCAGGAGTGATGAAATGCAGTGTAGAGCTGAAAAACTCAGAGGAAGGCGGGAGTGCAGATTGAATATAAGACTAGGGTTAGGGTTAGGAGTGTTAGGGAGGAGAGATGGACGTAGGGGAGGGAATCGGGTCCGAACGGGCAAAAAAAATGGCTGCAGAGGCTGAGAATTTGGAGGTGAGAGGGACTGCGGGAAAACAAAGAAACACCACATGTGTCCGCTCTCCTCTGGCATTTTAAAGAGGAATGGAGGCTTAAGGAAAGGCGCTGATAGAAATCAAATTAACGCTCCAGAAAAACTGTATGATTCTCCCCTCCCAGCCATCCTCCCACCGTAATAGCCTGATAATTGCACTTTAGTTCTCCGACATTCAGGCGGCTGGTTTCTCCTCGCCGCGACACATGATGCCCCACACCCCGGCCACATTTGCATACTGGATGTGTCAGTTGCATAAATTACCGCCGCCACTTTCAGCACCGGGCCGCCAAAATAGCAATCATTTTTCTCAAGCGAAGTGGCCCGGTCTGCGTGCATGTGTGTGGGACCGAGGCGTTGTCAACTCACTCCTGGATGCCTGTTATGACGATTAATATTATTCTCTGAAGCAGTCCCCTCTAATGGGTTGGCTGTATACCTTTCACTTCTCATTAGAATCAGTGCTGCCCGTAATGATTCTGGTTTTTATCTGTGCCTGCACCAGTGTGTTTATGCGTGCGTGTGGGGCTGGAAATCCAGGAGGAGGATTTGACTCTGAGTTTATTACAGCTGATTGAAACAGGCCTGGTCTATAAGCTCAGTTTCTCATGCCTCTTTACTCAATTTGTTTATGCATGCTTGTGTGTGTTGTGGAAACTTGCACATGCGTCCCCTCTTGTGTTTGATAATGCAGGTCCAGCTCACAGCTGTTGTGCGCAGCTGCAACGTCCACAGGAGTTGTCTGTTCGCATTTATGCATGTGTATGTGTGGAAGTGCTCTTGTGAATTGAGAGAAGGGGCCGAAGGGTGACGTGTTGTTTGTTCTCTCGCTCATTGTAATTTGTTCGATACATGCTAATTGCTCTAATTTGTCTGTCTTGTTTCTGTTTACCTTTATGCCCATGTGTGTGTGTCTGTGTCTGTGT